TGGGAGAACAGCTCAGATAACTCAGCTTTTCCAGAACTGCCCGCTAGCTTCTTCAGTTCTTGATTTTTTTTTCCTTCCACTCTGTAATGCTTCTCCCCCTGTACACCCCCAGTGGAGATTGGGTTTGATCTGAAAAGACACATGAGAAGGCTGCAGTCCTAGTCCCAGGTCCCCACTTGCTGCTGCCATTAAATGTCCAGTTGATGGCTTTGCTGGCTGCTTCATTGTCTGCACAGCTTCCCTAATCCATTCAGTAGCATATTAGCTTCTGGGTTAGCAAATCCAGGAGAGAGTGAGTGAAAAGGAGGTTTTACAGTAAAGCTACAGACATACTTCTGCTCAAACACCTTGAGTTATCTTTGTTTGCATGTCTTGTAACAGGGTGTTAGACCTTCTGTGCTACCTGGAGAAAGAAGTGAGATTAGAGTATGAACGCACCATGAACAAGATGATCTTTGACAACCTTGTCACTTGTGGACCTTGCGTTATTTCTTATGTCACCCTGCCAGACAAAGAGGAGGAGAAGATACCAGAGAAAGGTATAGGACACAGTGAAGCTGTTTGAACTTGGCATGGTTATAGGACCTCTTGACATTGATAGGATTCATGCTTCATTGTAGAAACGCTCATGTTAATGAGTGGGGTTCAGAAAGGCCAGCAACATGAGGTTATATGAGACTTTTGGGTGTGCTCCTTTTTTAGGGTGTACTTGCATGTTTGTGTTACCTCAGTATAACACATTACCATCCATCAGCTAAGCTGCAGTAGCTCTGCAAGTGTCCTCTTAATGGCACCGAATGCATGGCACTGTAATTAGCTGAACTGCCTTCTACCCTGCCCTGTGCTGGGGCTGGCTGCCTTCTGTGTGCTGTGCTCAGCTGTGCAGTACCTCAGGTGTGAAAGAGGACTCATGCTCTTTTGAAGTCCCAAACTGGAGGAAAATGACCACAGAAAAAGATGGGGGGATGCATATTTGGTCCACTTCAATCTTCCCAAGGTTGGAACACTTTGGGTGGTTTGCAGGAGGCCTCTCACAGGCAAAATGATTCAGCAGTGCCTTGAAACCTCAGTGGGAAGATTCTTGAAGTCCAGTGTTCTTGCCCGTGGCAATTTCATAAGCCAAAGCCTCAGGAAGCTCAGGCACCAAGACAGTCCCTCAGTCCCTAATGGTAGATTGCAGAAATGTTCTGCTGCAGAGACTTTCATCCAGCCATCTGCTAAAACTGCTACACAGTAAGGTCTGTGCATCAGAGGAGAGTCCTTTCCTTTTCACAAATGCTGTCCCAAAGTGAGCTGTGCTCTTCCTCTAAAACAGAAGCTGGGATGGCTGTTGCAAGCAATAATGTGTTCTCTTTTTTGGCACCAGGGCTCATCTGGATCCCAGACTATCCTTTTGAGGAACGAAAAGCAAATTTCAATTCTCTGTCACTCCTGACCAGGCCAGAAGTCATTGTTCTCCTTATGCAGGTGCAAGATGAGTGCAACAAGGTAGCCAGCATGTGTCTGTTCAATTCAACCTTAGCCAAGCATGTCTGCTTGGAGGAGTTTGAACAGATTCAGACCGAGACATTCACTCAGGTGAGCAGAAAAAGCATGGGGAGTGAAATCTTGGAGCAGGGCTGTCAGTGTGTATTAGACAGATGCAGGAGCTGCAGATCAATTCCCTGGAAACAGATGAGCTTTCAGAGTGGACACTGGGGGTGAGGCAGAGAAAAATTAGCATGTACATGTCAAATGTATTGGGATGTGGAAAGAGTGGGCTGAAAGAGCCATAGCCCCTTGACATCAGCCAGTACTGACCATGCTGTTGAACAGCTGGCTATGTAGGGCTACAGCCCGAATTTCCTCCTCCTGGTCTCCATGCAGGTAACAATCCTGATTTGCACTCAAAAGTTTCCATTTCTTATTTTAGTTTTATTTCCCCATTCCTCCAGCTGCAAGGCACAAGAGCTTTCATTCCTCCTGAAGCCTTCATGGGGGTAATACTTTTCTACACTCTGTTTTATGTACTTCATTAGATTACTCTGCTTGCAATGCTAGCAGACAGACTAGGACAAAAAATTTGCAACTCTGTGGTAGCTCTTGCCAGATCTTGGTGCCCTCTAAATGAGGGCAGTACATTGCATGCTGGTTGTGGCCACATGGAGTAACCTGCACAGGGTTACACAGTAAATCAGTGGCACAGGGCATGTGCTGGTCCCTCCCAGTCCCATGCTGTTCCAGGCAGGCAGTGCTGTCATCCCCTTAGTGACTGAGGTTGTTTTATTACACCCAAATAGCAGCTGCCTGTGGAGTGAAAGTGGCACTTGGTGGTATTTTAATAAATTAAACCACTGCAGACTGCTGCTGCTGTCCTTGGCTTCTCTGTGTCTTTCTCACTTGTCAAGAGAAGACAACATTCTGACCTTTACTTGCTCATCATGATGTCTACACAACTTTTTATGAGGGACCCTGACATGGGCAGCTCCAG